CTCGTCTACGCTGTGCTCTTGTCTGCTTTGAAAGATTCAAGTTACAAACAAGATATAGGTTTTGGTCACCTAGAAAACTAGGTAACCAAACTAATAGCTTATTCTTAAACTAACAGCTCATTCCCCATCCGGGTGCCCAGAAAGGTCCCTGCTGCCAGGCCCCACCAGGCTCCCAACACAGGGCCCCTCTAAAGCATCCCCCACGAGCCCCAAGTGCACAGCTTTCCAAGTGAGCTCCCAGCCCATGCTTTCCCCCTTCCAGGTCCTTCTCCTCCTCCATTTCTTTGCCGTAAAATGGAGATAGCAACACAGAACCCAAATCCTAGAGGACTCCCAAAAGCAATTCTCTCACAGTTCATTTGGAGGCAAACCCTAAACTGTCCTAAACTGACATGAGGCTATTCTTAGTCTTTACAGACCCCACTTAGTGTGGCAGCTCAAAGCACAGCCCAACATCCAGCTGGGGTTTTTGTAACATGTCCCATCTACGGCTCTAAAATCTGAAAAGTTCTGAACCCCTCCCAGGGGACTGGGGTAAGAGGAGCTGTGGGCTTCAGTGGAAGGAACGTGCCTGGCCACGCAGGTGGCCTTGCACACCTCCTCCCTTCCCCTCTTCCCAAAGGCCAGCGGTACCTCCAGACTTATCTTCTTCAAGCTCTCCCCGCCCACACAGCTCTCCATCCTTCCACTGACAGCCTCTTCCCCGATCTTCCTCAGAGGAGGCGGGCTTAGCCCTCGGGGGTCTGGGACCCCGCACAGCTATGACAGCCGAGCTACAGCTGTTCCAGCCACCTCTCTTCCAGCCGGTGTGACATGACCTCCAGGCCGCCACCTTCTACACCACGCTACAGATACACCCTACAGAATGGAGCCAGACGTCTCCCTCCCTCTCCAATACAGAGACAAGAAGGGAAAGCCACAAGCACATGAACAGGAAATCTGCCTCTCTCCCCACAGACCTCCCAAGAGGCACTACATGATAATCCTTTACATCAGGTCCTGGACACAGAACGGCCTGGCTTTACATCCTAGCTCTGCCACTGATCAGCTGTGTGACCTTGGGCAAGCCACTTCCTCTCTCGGAGCCTCAGTGCCTGAACTGTAAGTGTAGGTGACCATCTCTACCTTACGTGGTTGTCCAAAAAATGATGTCAGTTAATGCTGGAAAATGTGAGTGTCCCAGGATCC